TTATAATTTCCTATTAGCTAATAAATAATTTATATACCTATATATATATTAGGCAGTTATAGTTTAATAAATTAATACCTGATTAATTAAAATTGTATTTATAAATAAGCAAGACTGGCTTAATACTATCTTTTACACGTTCATGGACGTATGGTGATATAACGGTATATAGGGTATTCATAGGTTATACTTTCACAGCAGAGTAAATGCTAACTAAAATTCTGTTATCTGATGTCAATCTTGCATAAACGGTGGAGTATTAGTTGCTTCTTGCATAAACAGAGTAACCGTAAATATTGCTGATCTATTGCTGTATTACATCGCAGTAACCGCGAGTCTGCTATTGTTTCCTGTAACATCGACCTACGTTTGTATAACATTTTTGTTTTATTTCGACCCATGGAATCTACTGACAACGTTTGGCCATTAAAACCTGAGACACCCTGTATAATTACGTTTGCTTGTTTACACGAGACTGTTGAAATAGTGATTTTTAATGTCAGGAAGATTTTCATACAAGTACCTTGTTTCGACGTCTAATTTGAACGTTTAAACAAATCATAATCGATAAGTTTCGTAGCGTTAAAGAACTATACGTGAAGAAAGTTATTTATAAAAGAAATATAAATATGACGTTCAGAGTAACATCGCGAAAATTGAATTTGTTAAATGAAAATATTGAGAAACAGAATTCATGAGTTTAATCGTTTATTCCAGAAATTTTTATTGTAATTATCGAAGACAGTGGTGGAATGTTTTTTTTGAAACTTTAGTCAAGTATTTTCTCGTAATCTGATGTTTAGTGTTTTGTACTGGCATAATTACAAATTATAAACTTCTAATTTTCATTCGAATTTCAAATATTATGCAGGCTGGCCTATACATGTATACATTTGCCACGTAAAGTATCTCTGTTACTTTTATAGTAAAAGAAGAGTGAAGTGTCTTATGGAGGATTATTCAGATCTAAAGTTGACAAATTATTTTTTATGTAATACCAGTGGACGCCGTTTATTTGGGACAGATACTGAAGAACGGAGTATAAATACGTGTTTATTTACTTATTTTTCATTACTTATTGTTAGCTTTGTATTCAACATTCACACATTTGTATTTAAGACCGAATATTACATAGGTTTTTCAATAAATCGTTTTTAGCTTCATTTTTTACGTTTCTCAGATTTTGCCCGTTGAAATTCGCTTCTTTGGGACAAATTAGTCCAATGTGTCCCAATTAACCGGAATCCACTGTACCATAAACAATGCTGCAGACAATTTACACACAGAAAAAGTAGCTTCTTAGATTAATAATATCCTATGTTTTCTTGAATTATAAATATTTTAAGCTATTTTACTATTTCAGAACCATGATGGTCGTTTTACTTTGAAACATACAGGGTGTGCAAAAAGGTCGGGACAAAACTTATACTACGTGTTAATGAGGTAAAGTAGGTAAAAAAAGTTCCTATAAACTTATAGTTGGGGCCACGATATAGCGAGGTCGTAAATTAAACTCTTAAGAAGCGGCACCTATTGATGCTGCGGCAATCAAGGCCGTGTGTTGCAGTCTGTTTGAGGGTTCCAACAATAAACGAATGGTAGCATATGATTTGGTACTTCAAGTAGAAAATGGTATTTCATTTACAAATGGAAAATATGTTAATATTAAAGCTACACAATCCTTTTGCATTTTCTATCTGTATATAACACGAGCAAGTATATGAAGATGTTAAAGACCTCAATAAGACCTTCACTTGTAACCGTACTTACAAAAGCGGCTTTTCCCAGAAGAAAAAAACCCTAAATTGTCCTAGCTGAACTTAATTTTCGGTAAATATATTAGAATCAGTTTGACTTTCGCTGGATACAAGAATTCTTTGTACGGTCCTGACCATGGTTTCAAGTACTTATCTGCTCGTATTTCTGTCAATTTCGGGGTC